GGAGAAGCCATTCTGCATATGCCTTTTTTTCTTTTATTGTAACAAAGTTGATTGTACATATCTGTGAGGTACAGAGTTGAACATCAACACCCATGTGCAATACGTGATGCTCACATGAGAATAATTATTATATTCAATAATATACACTATCATTTGCTATTTATGACCCTTTACTCATTCCTTCCTACCCCCTCCCTTCCCACTTCTAGTAATCCCAGTTGTTCTTTTGAAAGGTCAGTGTATTATTGGGAATGTTGTATCTATCTTTCTTTCTTTCTTTTATTTATATGTTTATAATTTTAGCTCGCACTTATGAGTGAGAATATGCGGTATTTCTCTTTCTGTGCCTGGCTTATTTCACTTAATATGATTTTCTCTATGTTCATCCATGTTGCTGCAAATGGCAATATATTCATTCATATAAAAAATAGCTGCACAATATTCCATTGTGTATATATACCACATTTTCCTTATCCAGTCATCTGATGTTGGACATTTAGGTTGGTTCCAACTCTTGGCTGCAGTGAGTAGAGCTGAGATAAACATGGTATTTCTTTGACATGAAGCTTTCCATTCCTTTGGGTATATACCCAGCAGTGGAATTACTGGATTGTATGACGGTTCTGTCTGAAGTTGTTTAAGGAATCTCCATACCATTTTCCATAATGGCTATGCCAATTTACAGTCCCACCAACAGTGTAGGAAGGTTCCCTTTTCTCCACATCCTTGCCAGCATTTGTTCTTCTCCATCTTTTTTGATGATTGCCAGTGTAACTGGGGTGTGATGGTATCTTAATGTGGTTTTGATTTGCATTTCCCTGATGCTGAGTGATGTTCAGCATTTTTTCTTGTGTCTGTTGGCCATTTGCATATTTTCCTTTGAGAAATGCCTATTCAGTTCCTTTGCCTATTTTTTAGTTGGGTTATTTGTTTTTTTACTGTTAAGTTGTTTGAGTTCCTTGTATATTCTGGATATTAATCCTTTGTCAGATGCATAGTTTACACATATTTTCTCCCACGGTGTGAGTTGTCTTTTTACTCTGTTAATTGTTTCTTTTGCTGTGCAGCTTTGTAGTTTGGTATAATCTTCATATGACTGTTGGCCATTTGTATATCTTCCTTAGAGAAATGTCTATTTAGCTCTTTTGCCCATTTTTTAATTGGATTACTTGTTTTTTTCTTGTTAAGTTGTTTGAGTTCCTTGTATATTCTGGATATTAATCCTTTGTCAGATGCATAGTTTACACATATTTTCTCCCACGCTGTGAGTTGTCTTTTTACTCTGTTAATTGTTTCTTTTGCTGTGCAGCTTTGTAGTTTGGTATAATCCAATTTGTTTATTTTTCCTTTTGTTGCCCATGCTTTGGGGGTAATATTCGTAAAATCTTTGCCCAGTCCTACTTCCGGAAGTGTTTCCCCTGCGTTTTCTTTTAGGAGTTTTATAGTTTCTGGTCTTATATTTAAGTCTTTACTCCATTTTGAGTTGATTTTGGTATATGGTAAGAGGTACGGGTCTAGTTTCATTCTTCCACATATGGATATCCAATTTTCCAGCACCATTTACTAAAGAGCTAGTCTCTTCCCCGTTGTGTGTTCTTGGTGCTTTTGTTGGAGATCAGTTGGCTGTAGGTTAGTGGGTTGATTTCTGGGTTCTCTATTCTGTTCCATTGATCTGAGTGTCTGTTTTTATGCCAGTACCATGCTGTTTTGGTAACTATAGTTTTATAGTACAGTTTGAAGTCAGGTAGTGTTATGCCTCCAGCTTTATTGTTTTTGCTCAAGATTGCCTTGGCTATAGGGCAAGGAATGTCTGTTTGTTGTGCCCTTTTTAATTTCTTTCAACAGTGATTTGTAGTTTTCATTGTAGGGATCGTTCACCTCCTTGGTTAAGTTGATTCCTAGGTATTTTATTTTTATGTGTGATTGTTTTAAATGGGCTTGCTTCCTTGATTTCTTTTTCTGCTATTTTGTTGTTGGAGTATTAAAATGCTACTGATTTTTGTGTGTTGGTTTTATGTCCTGCAACTTTACTAAAGTCATTTATCAACTCTTAAGAGTTTTTTTGTAGATTTTGGGCTGTGGTTCTATATACAGGGTTATGTCATCTGCAAACAGGGACAATTTCACTTTATCTTTTCCAATCTGGATGCCCTTTATTTCTTTGTCTTGCCTGATTGCTCTGGCTAGTACATCCAGTACTGTGTTGAATAAGAGTGGCGAGAGAGGGCATCCTTTTCTTGTTCCCGTCCTCAAGGATGATATTCAAGATGATATTGGCAGAGCATTTATCATATACGGCTTTAATTAAGTAGAGATACTTTCCTTCTATACCTAATTTGCTGAGAGTCTTTATCATAAAGGGATCTTGAATTTTGTCAAATGCTTTTTGTGCATTTATTGAGATAATCATATGGTTTTTGTCCTAGTGCCATGATTTAAATATTTTTATTACCATTTTTAAATGGAGAAGCCATTCTGCATATGCCTTTGAATTCTTGTCCCTCTTTACTACCTCTTCTCCCCAAAAGGAAAAACATTTCACCCAAGTAAATTGATTGCATTTTCTGTGCACTGTGGACCTCACCTGCAGAGATGGCTCCCTTTTGTCAGGAGCATCTGCAGATGATGCTTTTATTTCCCCTTTAGTTGATATTTCTTCTGTGATATTCTAGATACTGTAGAACTTAATTTGTCAGATTCAGTATAAGCTCTTATTTTGTTATCTGTCTTTCAATAATGCAGATTTTGTCAAATCAATGGATGTTCTTTAGGAAAAAATAAATATAAAGACATGTATAGATGAGAAGTAAGTGGATGCAGAAAGATATCAAAAGGAACAGAAAATTAAATTTCAGGACACCAAATTTACTTTCATCTTTTATTTCCACTTTGCTTTATGACTAATTAGATTACAGAAGCTCCTTTAGGGCTGGCCCGGTGGCGCACTGCTACAGTGCGCCGCTTGGAAGTGGAAAAAGACAAAAAGGAAAAAAAAAAAAAAAAAAGAAGCTCCTTTACTCACAATGGGGTTATGTCCCCATAAACTAATTCATTGTAAGTTGAAAATATTTTAAGTTAAAAATGTATTTATACACCTAACCTACCAAACACTCTGGCTTAGCCTAGCCTGCCTTAAACATGCTCAGAACACTTGCATTAGCCTACAATTGGACAAAATCATCTAACACAAAGCCTATTTTATAACAAAGTGTTGAATAACTCATGTAATTTAGTGACTATTATACTGAAAGTAAAAAACAGAATGGTTGTATGGGTACCATCATTAAGTTGAAAAATTTTAAGTGCAACCTTCCTAAGTTGGGAACTGTCTGTACTTAACAGCCTGTGAGTTTATATCTTCTTTTCTTATTTTGCACTCTTCTTGTGCAGTCTGTGGCCTTAACTTCCACTTTAACACTATTAACTTACAAATCCTGTATCTCCAGACCCTGACCTCTCTTAATATTTCGGACCCATATGTCTAATCATATATCTGTCTCCTGACCCAGATGTTCCATGAGCATCTTAACCAGTTCAGAACTGAACTTAGCATCTTTCTCTATTTAGTTTCAATAACCAGAGCCACTGTCCATTCAACTGCCCAACGAGAAATCTCTGAAGTCACCCAAATTTTTCTCTCTCTCTTCTCCCTCTCTCACATTTTTCATATCGTATCAAATCGCTGGTTCTATTCTTTTTTTTTTTTTTTTGTCTTTTGTCTTTTTTCCGTGTCCGGCAACGGATCGCAACCCTCAGTGTTGCCCCCGTACCGGACCAGGGACCGGCAACGGGATTGCAACCCTCGGCGTTGCTCCCGCGCCTCGCTCAGCCAGTGAGCGGGAACCGGTCTGTATATGGGATCCGAACCCTCGGGTGGGAGCGCCGCCGCGCTTCCCAAGAGGCGCACTATCCAGTGCGCCACCCGGCCGGCCCATCGCTGGTTCTATTCTTTTTTTTTTTTTTTGTCTTTTGTCTTTTTTCCGTGTCCGGCAACGGATCGCAACCCTCAGTGTTGCCCCCGTACCGGACCAGGGACCGGCAACGGGATTGCAACCCTCGGCGTTGCTCCCGCGCCTCGCTCAGCCAGTGAGCGGGAACCGGTCTGTATATGGGATCCGAACCCTCGGGTGGGAGCGCCGCCGCGCTTCCCAAGAGGCGCACTATCCAGTGCGCCACCGGGCCGGCCCATCGCTGGTTCTATTCTAAAATGTCTTTGAAACCTGTGTCTGTATCCACATTGTTCATATATTTAGGCACTTATTACCATCTCTCAGCAGGAGTAAGCCTCTTGGCTAGGCTTCTTGCCTCCAGTCTTGTTGCTGGTTATCTTTCACATTGTGGTCAGATTGAGCTACCTGATATGTACATCTGATAATGCCACTCCCGTACTCAGATACAGTGGAAACTCTTAATGTAGTGTACAGCATACCTACCAACCCAGCCTGATATCCCACCACCTCCTTCTTGTACTTGATGCTCCAGTGATCCCAAACTACTGTAGTACCAAGAATAGGCTACACTCTACCTGCCCACCTTTCTTTGTTTAATTCTTCTGCCTAGAATGCCTTCCTCTCTACTCTTATCTGCTTGACAAGTTCCTACTCATTTTTCAGGTTTCAATTCGTATGTCTCATCTTGCAAGGCTTTCTGGTTTCCTTTGGCTGACACAGGCATTTTTTCTTCCACACTCCCACTACGCCTTGTGCATACCTGCATTATTGCAGTAATCATACAGTGTTATAATTGTTCCCATGTCCATATTTCCCTAGATTGGAGAGTCCTTTAGAGAAAAGAATTGTGCTTTTCTTCTTTGCGTCTGATTCCTAGTATCCCATATTACTCACTAACGAATGACTTGCTAATTAAATTTAATGGCTTAAAGAGGTACTATTATTTTTTCAGGCTACAAGGATGCTATTGAATATCATGGTACTATAGTGTGCTAAATTTGACATCAACAAACAGTTTATGGTATCTCCATTGATGCTTCTCTGTTTCAGCACTAATCAAGTCTGATCTGAGAAGACACAACATAAATATCGGAATCACAAACGTTGATATTAAAGCTGTAAGTAATGAATATTTTTATGATTACAAGGAATAAGTATGAAACCAATCTTATCTAGTCAGCTTTTTTTCTTCCTGAGTCAGCTGTCGATCTTTTATGATAGCTTATGCCTGATGCTGTACATATTTTATTATCTGATTCTTTTTCAGGTGCCAGTTGATAGTCCCACAGATCAAGAACCAAAAACTGTTATGTTGTCCAAGCAGTCAGAATCAGCAATTTGAGGTGAAAGAAAAGTTAATATCCTGTGGTAATTGGGATGCAGCGTGATGATCCTTGGAGAGATACATGAGCAGCAAGACTGGGTTTATAGGTTGTGGGGAATGGATATTGGTGCAAAAAAAGAAAAATGAAAGCTTAGAAGACTTTCTAAAAAGATAATATGGGGGTCCAGTTCCCATAAGACACATGAGAGTACATGCAGTTTATATGTAAAAATACTCAGTGGGACCAAATGTACAATATATTCCTAATTGGCTACCTTTCCACTGTGCTGACCAACTGTCCAGGCCACCTCAGTATAAGCACAGTATACCCCCACCTGACACTACTGATCCACTGAAGGACAGGATTGGGATCCAGCTTTCTGATAACCTCTAAGATTTTTCCCATTTCTTATACTCTTGCTACAAAGTGCTCCTAACAGGTACTTGTCAATAGCTACAAACTCTTTTGTGTGCAGAATCTACCCGTGACGTTGGTCTTAGAATTATGTTCTAACTCTGCTAAGGAGCCCAGACACTGGCTCATTATCTCAAATTCTTCTCTGTGCTGCCTTCCTACCCTGGAAAGTGCTGACACTATATTTTTTCACTCTAACATAGAATAGAGTAGTTTTGTACCCATTGCCTTTTTTTACTTCCTTCTTTTTTTCAATTTCTAGTAAGAAAATTTTATCATATGTGTTACTGGCTGTTTCCTGCTTTCTTGTATCACATCCTATATTCTGCCTTGAAGATTCCTGAGATAAGGAAATCCATAATAACTTCAGATAGCCTAGGTTCCCCCATTTAGTGGAGACTGCTTGAAATGCTACCTGTTGTAATTCTGAAGTCATTCTTACGCCCGTTCTCCTTTGAGGAATACTGTGCTGTGCCAGGTGCGTGCTCCATCAGTGCGGCTGGGGGAGTTGGTCCTCTTCTCACAACAGAGTGTGTGTCATCACCACACCGTTGGAACCGTCTGCTCTTTTTCATGCTCAGGGTAAGGAGACTAGGACCAAATGTATTTCCACAGTGCCTACCACTGTGTTCTGTTTACAGTGAGAATTTAAATGTTTGATGTCCTGACTCTCCAAACTCATAGGGAAATATCTTTATGGTAATGACATTTGATCAGCCGTAATATTTACATTATGTCCATATACCAAAAAAAGCCAATCAGGTAATGAATACCCTTGAAGTCAATAGGAATTTTTGATTTAGTCAGAATATATGCATTGTTTTATATTGGAATTACAACACTCTCTGTAATCAAATGCCTATAAATTACATAAAATCTGACCCTACAAAGAGAACTTGGCTAGGGCCGGCCTGTGGCTCACTCGGGAGAGTGCGGTGCTGATAACACCAAGGCCCCAGGTTCAGATCCCATATAGGGATGGCCAGTTTGCTCACTGGCTGAGCGTGGTGCTGACAACACCAAGTCAAGGGTTAAGATCCCCTTACCGGTCATCTTTAAAAAAAAAAAAAAAAAAAAAATAGAGAGAACTTGGCTAAGAATCAGGAACTCTGGGTTCATGTCCTCGATGCATTTCTGTCTGTCTCTGTAACTCTGGATAAGTCATTGAACTTCTCTGGGCAGTATTTTTCTCATCCACAAAATGAATGTGTTCAGTTTGATCTCAAGGGTCTTTTAATAATATTAAATGCCATTCATCATGGAGTAGACCAAGTCATTGTACCAAAAGAACTTAAGTCTAGCTAGAGAAAAATTCTCCAGACAGTGAGATGAACAGCTCTGATTATTACTTTGTGGATACAAGGGATGTTTAGATCTCTTTTTAGCCTTTTCAGTCAGTTGGTGGTAGCTCAGTGTATTAGTCCATTTGTGTTGCTATAACCAAAATATCTGAGACTGGGTAATTTGTAAAGAACGGAGGTTTATTTGGCTTACAATTCTGGGACAGCTGCATCTGGCACAGGCCTCAGGCTGCTTCTGCTCATGGTGGAAAGCATCAGGCAGCCGGTGGGTACAAGCAGATCACATGGCGAGAGGAAGCAAGTGGGGAGGTGCCAGGGTCTTTTTAAACAACCAGCTCTCACGGGAACTAGTAGAACAAGAACTCACTCATTAATCCCCCGTCCCCCAGGGAGAGCATTAATCCATTCATGAGGGATCCGCCCCCATGACTCAAGCAGTTTCCAACACTGCTACATTGGGGATCAAATTTCCACATGAGTTTTGGAGGGGACAACACATCCAAACTCCATCACTCAGGCAGATGCCCAGTTGTTAGCTTCCTTTGATATTTACATCACAGGTAAAAATGGCCAAAATGTGTTTTAAGGCCCCCCCCTTAAATAATTTTTATTTTTAAACTGTCAGTGTTGTTTGAAGTCATCATGTACTTGTTGAGTTCCTGAGGTTTTGAACAAATGACAGTTAAAAGCTGGAGTTCTTTATTTCTGAAAAGGATTTACATACATGTGTATATTTTTCCTTGTTGATTAGAAAAGGGGTGAAATATATGACAGAATGCAAAATGAATTGACAGTTTATCTGAATTTTACATGGAAGTTGACTATCACATGTCAAATAAGAATTCTGTCTTATGTTTGGTAAATGAAGTAGGTAATCACTTGTGTATGATTTTAATCAAATGAATTTAGGAAAGACACTGGATGCTTTCAAAAGCTGTTGCATTTATAAATATTGCAAATATAGCTTTTGACTTTTGAGAATGTTGGAGAAATGTCTTTAAAAATATGTATGTATGTAAAAATATGTTTGTATGTAATAGCTGGTAGAATGCCTATGTCTTAAGTTGTTATTCGTGTTTTAGTTTTTGCTCTTTGCACTGTTTGTCTGTGTGCTTGTTCTTCAGTATTTTAGACTCAAAATAAATTTATATTTTTAACGTTAGTTTTGTATGGCTTTTTTTGTTTTTTTAAGTTCTAGTACTTACATACACGTGGGTGAAAAGGGATTTTAAGATTTTAGAATGCTCCAAGGAAGGAAAGGTATTTTATGGAACACAAGGAAACAAAATCCACTAGGGTTAGGGCTAAAACAGAAACTAAAATATTTCATCCATTTAAAAATAACTTGAGAGAGCGACATCAGCAAGATGGCAGAATAGGAGCTTTCTACCATTATCCTCCTGCAGAAACACTGATTTTGACAACTGCCCACGGAAAAGAGTACCTTTGTGGCAGTCTGGAACTCCAGCATAGAATTTCCGGTGCACCACTGGAGCAAAAAATCCGAGGACAGTGCTTTGAGGAAGGTAGGAAGATCAGTTTTACTTTATCCATGCCACCCCTCCCCCAAGGTGGCACAGCTCAGTGCCGAGAGAGACCATCAAGCCATGACCTCTCCCATGGGAAAGTGAGAATGTAGTGAGCAAGCATCCCACTCTCCCAGCTGTGTGGCATGCTGCCCAAGCACTCTTCCTCCAGCCAGAACGGTAAGATGACTGGCATGGCCGAGTGTGGGGAAAGGCTGGGAGCAAGTAAGGGAGGCTGCGAACCCCACTAACCACTTCCATCAGGAAGCCTGCCCACGTGCCACTTGGGATGTCTTGCCTGTGGAGCCCCCCAGATGGCCTATGGGTACCCCAAGTGCTCTGCACATCCCCACCCCCAAGCTATCTCCCCAAGCATACCCCCAGGGATTGCGACTGCAAGCATCTGCTGCAGACAGCTGCTCACCTCTGCAGACTGGGAGAAGGCACAGCAACGAGTACTTCAGGCCCCACTAGAGAAGACCCGAGGGAGGCTCAGCACTTGGCCTGGCTTTGCGGGATTGAAAGAAAGCATACCAAAATAACCATTTCCCAAAACAAAACAAAAAGGTGGTGAGAAGAATGGCACTGTTTCATGTCTAAAGAGTGCAAACCTCTTTAGTTCCTGGCGTTATAGAAGACAGCTGGATTATTCAGATTCTGCATTCAGTCTGTTGGGATCTGCTGTTTTGATATGTGTGGAGAAAAGCCTTGCACACATGTAGTTGGAAACAGTGAAGTATCGTCGATTAAAATGATCCAAGACGCAAAGGAAGACACAGCAGACGAGATGCAGGTGAAGAGCAGGGGGCTACTGCTCTCTCAGGCAAGTACCCACTGGGAATCACTAACAAAGGAAGACACAGCAGACGAGATGCAGGTGAAGAGCAGGGGGCTACTGCTCTCTCAGGCAAGTAACCCCGACCCAGCCGCTGTTACAGCTTTTATTACATGTAGCAAGCTTGTGCATGGGCCGGCCCGTGGCTCACTCGGGAGAGTGCGGTGCTGATAACACCAAGGCCCCGGGTTCGGATCCCACATAGGGATGGCCGGTTCGCTCACTGGGCGAGCGTGGTGCTGACAACACCAAGTCAAGGGTTAAGATCCCCTTACCGGTCATCTTTTTAAAAAAAAAAAGCTTGTGCATGCAAGATAAGCATTAATGCATAAATTCTGTTATACTTTTCTCAAGAGCAGAAGGCCGTTACCTCCCTTCTCAAGCACTTAGTTATCTATAATTCGCCTCCTGGGAACATCCCAAATAGCACCGACCCAGCCGCTGTTACAGCTTTTATTACATTTAGCAAGCTAGTGCATGCGAGATAAGCATTAATGCATAAATTCTGTTATACTTTTCTCAAGAGCAGAAGGCCGTTACCTCCCTTCTCAAGCACTTAGTTATCTATAATTCGCCTCCTGGGAACATCCCAAGAAAGTGTTCTCACAACTTCAAGCGTTCTCAAGGATTGTTTCCAATCCTTGACATTTCTTGGTTAACTCCTTTGCGAGTTCGCCAAGTGAACACGTCCTTGGGTGCTCACCACAGAAGTCCATTAACCATTTCCTTCAAAGTATTTTAATATCCTTTTCAGATAATTGCAATTTTCTTCTTTGAAACAGTACCGAAATTCCAACTGGTAGTTTCTTAAGGTTATTTGCTGTGTACAATCTGAAGCCCTATCAATGAATTTTTCCTACTTTGTTACATTAAAATCTAATAGTCTGTCTTGTACTTTTGATATGGACAAGCCCAGAAAAACTTTAACCTGCACCTATACTCCACTTTTTGGTTTTTGTTTTACTTTTGTATCAGCTTAGCCACCCTGCTGCCTGGATTTCAAGAAAATGAAACCTACAACCCGGGAAGAATGTAACCTATATAACCCTTTGCAAGTCTGAAGTCCAGGCTCAGACTTTGGAGTGTGAACTCCTCTGGGCCCACCGTGTAATAAATCTTTGAGTTCTCCCTCCCTCTGAGTGACGAGTGATGCTTGGTTTCTCCGCAGTCTGTTCTGTAACATTTCAAGTAGATCTTTAACCATGTATGCTTTTGTAACATTATGCATTGACATTTGGGAAATATTACTTCACTGAGTTATGCAGATTTTCCAAATAGTGATATATTTCATTATATAATACCAAAATCACATTTATTAATACCTCTGATCTCATCAGAAAGTCTTTTAAGTATTGGGAAGCAGTCAAATTCATACAAGTTTTTATGAAAAACTTGATGGATGCAAATTTTCCAAAATTCACCATCATTGCAGTTGTCAACACGGTGAAAGAAGAGTTTTGACCTTGTGGATTCCTGAAAAGCGTCTTGGGATTCCCAGAGTCTGCCAGGCTCCCTTTGAAACCCGTGCTTCTAGAAGAAAGAAACTGGCTGTCATCTACATTGATCAATGATGGACAGTGTGAGAAAAAAGAGAGTGACGAGTAAGTGGGTCAAGGCTCAGAGGCCTCTAGCAAGGAGACAGAGAGAGCATGAGGGTTACTGGAGACAGAGAAGGAGCCTACGGGAAAGAAAGGCAGAAGAATTGGGGTAGTTTTATTAATGAGGCCAAAGAGAAGAGAACTGGTAGCTGCAAAGGAAGATGGTGCCTCATGTAAACTGAAAGCTGTGGGAGAAGGCTGCCACCACCACCTGCCATGCCATCTGAGGTAGTATGATGTCTCAAGACAAAGTCTCCAGCATCATTTGGTTTTACAAATAGCTACGTTTAAGGCAAGAGTCATGAAGCTGAAATATAAATAAAATACATAGATAGCAGTTTATCTGTTACCAGTTATCCTATAAGTAAGAATTTAAAAATCTGAGTCCTTTTTCAGATCCCACTGGGAATCACTAACATTACATTTAGATGTAGAAAAAACTACTCCCATCCAGAAAAAATACCATTCTTATTGCCCTTAGCAGGTAAAGAAATATAGGTAAGTAACATTTCTGAAGTCAATTCTTTCTCCTGTAATCCACCTGCCCAGTCTTGGCTTCCTGGACCAAGACACCTGTCTCACCACACTGCCTCTTGCCCTCTGCGACTAGAATAGTCAAACTAGTAGGTGACAACCTGCTCTGAAGGATCCCATGCCTGGAAAATGCAGTTATGACGTTTCACAGGAGATACAATGTATTTGGGTTCCTAAAGAGAGATAAGGTTTCAAAGCACACTTGACCACCAAGAGGGAACACCTCATCTTAGATCTGCACTAAGATCTGATAGATGTCCTGTGAGCGGGGTTGAAGAGGAAGGAGGAGGAGGTGGGGTCTGGAGGCCCTAGAGCTTTTGAGAAAGGAGAGAAAACAGAAGGACTTGAAAGATGAGCTTCATTTTCCATTTAGACACGATGCACCAGATCTCTGCCTTGTCTTGTCACGTGCACTCATTTACGCTTTTCCCTTCTTTTCTATTATTTTAAGTTCATGATGAAATGGTAACTGTGAAGAGAACAAACTAGCAGAAACCAGTGGAAATTTGATTTCTGGTTGGAGCCTCTAGGTTTGGGTTGACAAATTCTGCGTTAGCATGCCTCTCTTAGGAAAACGTTTTATTCCTCCAGGGACTAAACTGGCTCCAAACACTCTAAGATTGATGGATACGTTAAATTTTCAGAAAGTTTCATAATGCATAAAAGTGAAGCTAAAATAAGACTGGCAGTGGTTTCTTTTTTAGTGAAAAGGCTGAATCCTTCAAAACATATTTTGACCCAAAACCAGAGCAGGTAAGCTCCAGGTCTTTCCAGCTAGGGCAGGATTTATGGGTGAACAAAGCCTTCCATTGCATAATCAGGAGTTCAGAATTAAAAAAGATGTCCTTGGACAAGTAACACATGGGCATAGACTCATCCCTTGCAACCCTACGCAATACTTGGTACTATTATTTGTAAGGCAGTTTCCTTGTATGGTTAGATTACACTATTATGTGCACTATCTCACTGCCTCGACTGCACCATGAGCCTTTTGAAAGTATCCATTGTGGTGTATAGGATAAAAACATGATCTTTAGGGGCCGGCCCATGGCTCACTCGGGAGAGTGCGGTGCTGATAACACCAAGGCCGAGGGTTCGGATCCCTATGTAGGGATGGCCGGTTCGCTCACTGGGGAGAGCGTGGCGCTGACACCACCAAGGCAAGAGTTAAGATCCCCTTACCGGTCATCTTTAAAAACAAAACCAAAAAAAAAATGACCTTCAGGAGCTTGAAGTCTTAGGTTAGAAACCTGACAATCTATGATCTTGGGAAAATAATTTAAACACTCTGAATTTCTGTTTTTTCCTCTATTCAATAGGATGTGTGAGAAAAATGGAGTTAGTTGAGCCAGGCCCTCTCGCCTCCCATCTGGCTGGGTATGATTGAGCATAGCTGATGTAAAGACGTTACGTAACACGGTGTAACTGCGCATGTGCGCCCATATGCCCGTGGCTCGTGGCCGCTATTGTGTTCTTCGGTATGGAAGGCAGCGGCTGTGAACTGCTGGTCGGAGGAGCTCACGTCTGAAGAATAAAGCATGTCCACTTTCCGGGCGGCTGCTCGGTTTTTCTTTTGATTTTCCGACTCAGGATCTGCCCAGAACGGGGAGAGGGGTCTGTGATCCAGCCCGACAGGGTATTTCCTACCTTTCAGATTTGTGGTGAGGATTAAATTTAAGCTGTAGGCACACAGTAGGTCCTCAGAAAATCAGATCCACTATTACTCTCATTTTGAGAAACAATTTTAATGGACTTGCTGCTAATAACACACACTTGAGAAGCAGATAGCTGATTTGAGAGAACAGGGTTAAATATTTGAACTTGATGTTATCTATAGCAGTGCCAATAAAATCATTACCAAAGTATTTAGCCACTTCCATGTGCATGTGGTGCAGAGTTGGGTATTACACAAAGGAAACGAAACAAAAATGGATTTGGAAAAGATGGTGAGATCTGGGCAAATGGGTGGACACCAAAAGAACAAAACTGCGTTGCTCTTGTGGGCATGTAAAATGGTTTCTATGTTTATTGCACAACCCACAACAAAGGAGATTAAAGAACAAACTGGGAAGGAAGCCACCAACAAGCCCACCGCCCATATGCAACTGTTTTTCCTTGTTCCCCTTTAGTTCATATGCGTACATAATTTTACCTAGGTACAAAGCAATTTGTATATTTAATATGATATAAGCATTTTCCTTGAGGCTAGATGGCCTTTAAAACTATTATTTTAAAGAACCACATAATATTGTAGTAATGCCTATATACTATAATTTACTTAATGACAATAATTTACTTAATTTACTCATGGACATTCATGTATTCATTTATTCAACATTTATTGAACATTTAAAATTTTGTCAGGGTTTGTGATAGGAGCTGGAATTACAAAGACCGTGTCCCTCTCTCAAAGTGCTGAAAGACAAGAAAACAAACCACCCTAGTCCACAACACTCGATGAGAGGTTGTACATGTGCAAAGAGGCAGGAGCCCCAGGGAGGCGGCATCTGCTCCTGCCAGACACGGAGCAGACTCAGTTCTCACTGCCTTGGAATCAGACGAGGCTTTTCTCTTCCTTTGAACAGAGGATTGTGATGCTTGGGCCGCCTCATTTTCATTGTTATGACCCTCTCTGCCCACCCTCACCTTCCAGTTTGTCAAAACCTTCTCTGAACTCCTTCCATCTCAATGAGATATGAAGGGTGGGCAACAGCCTCAGGTGTAATCCCAACTGTATTTGCGTTTTAAACTGGTCTAGACTAAGTAGATAAAGCTCAGACAGCCTCAATAGTCCAGGAAGACAGACTGGGTGTGGCTTTGGACCTCCTTGTCCCTGAAATCACTCT